TGAAGATCAAACGAAAATTTTAATTGTAGATTATTATACACAGATACAGGTACACGTTATGTATAATTATGTTATTTGGGTTAAATTTTTATCATAATTAGAATTAGAATAAATTAGACTTTAGTTGCGCAGAATATTAAGGGAAATTCGATTTTCTTTGATTTGTTATCTTTTTCACGTAGATATATTGATGTGTATTTGTGAAATCCGCCATACTGAATCAGCATGAGAAGTTTCACGTGTAGCCAATCGGATTCCTGGTTAAATATCGACGTCGCGACGCTCGGTGACGTCACTCCTTAAAGCAAATGCGTGAGAAAATGCAAGCTGTGCTCCCAAACTATAACACGTTTTCATTTGTTTTCACACCTTGTCCTTGGAGATTTTTTTCAAACAATTGCAATCAATGTCCTTGCGTACTTAGCTTTAAATAGAAAATTTTAAAATTTGACATATACCCCATGAAGAAGTCCTGATGATCCACTTGTTACGTACCTATTTATCTACTGATAATAATTTTTAGACTGCAGATTAAAGTAACAAATAAAACAGTTTAAAACAGGTAACATTTTTACTTAAACAAACCAAATACATAGTATATATAAATATTTACATCAAAATCAGTCCACAATTAAAAGTATAAATAAATTATTATCGTTATTAAAACTACTATCGGTTTTAGTACAAGATAATATGTGACTAGCTTGAAAATTATGACTAGATATTAGACACGATTCGTAATAAAACTTAAAACCTACTTAGGTACATGTGATTTGGTGACTAGGTAACGTCTTTTATTTGCAATAACTATGTTTTTCAAAATTATATACTGAGTGATATTTTTTCATCCAAAAGATATACGGAATTATAAGAAATAAGTCCTTTTTTGAATTATTCTTTTGAATTTTTTGTTTGTACCCTAAATATATTTGACAATAGACGAATTATAAATATTTGCACAAAAGAATTGGGTAATAAAAAAAGGATTAATCTTGTGCAGAAAACGATGTCCCTGATGAATTTTTACTTGATCGGGGATCTTCAGGTGTCCATACTTTCGCGTACATGATACCGTTGGGATT